ACTTGAACATACACATACACAGCGACGCACACACACACAACAACAACAACCGCCATTCGCCACTAAGTGGCAGTGACATCACCATGACGCTTGTGCCAGGCTATGTGCACCTTGAGGCTACCTGAAGTGTCGAACGCCCGCTTTCAGGATATCACGGGGCAGACCCAGATGCCACAGGTCAACTGACTGAGACGACTGGCTGATGCACCACCTGTGCCCCCGACTGTGCTAACTTGCTGTGCTTTAGCCACCCAATGCTCCGCTCGTTGTTGTGAGCATTGCTCCTCCGCCCTCCGTTGTTGTTGGAGGGCGACTGCCTCCAACTGCCCAGTAGCGTCCTTCACGAGCCTCCTCCACAGAGGCCGATCTTGACACCGCTGGTACAAGTCATCGGCAAGTCCACTCAGCTCCACATCCTCCTGTACCACATCGCTCCATCTCTTCTCTAACCGTGCCACGCCCGTCTAGCCCCTCGATCCAGCCAAACAAAAGCTGTTTATGCATGCGGTGGCTGGGCATGCGGGCTACATTGCCTAGCCAACGCAGCCTTGCCTGCCGTAGGAGCTCACCGATGGGACTTTGTCCAGATCTTTCAAGGATTTGTGAGCTCTTCACACAATCCAGCCTGGTTAAACCCAGGATGGATCATAGGCCGGCCAGCCTAAATGTTTCTAACCGGCGAAGATGTTCCATTAGGGGGGTCCACGTTTCGCAAGCGTAGAGAAGGGAGGGAATGACTGTGGCCGAGAAGACCTAAAGCTTTGTGCGGAGCGACAGACCAGGTAGCTTCCACACAGCGTTACGCAACCGATGAAAAGATAATTCCCCTCGAATGATTCGGAGTGAGACTTCTGCTGTTAAACCGGAGCCGGTTATGAGCACATTGCCCAGGTATGGGAAACTCTCCATTCTCTCTACAACTGCCCCATCACCAATTGGGAGTTGTGGGGTGGAGTGTTCGATGGTACAACATATCGAGGCAGGTGCTTAGTTTTGGTGGGGCTGATAGTAAGGCCCCACCTCTTAGTGGCAAGCTCTAGGTTCAGCAGCAGCGCCTCCAACTCCTCCTCTGAGTGAGCAGCAATAACAAGATCATCGGCATACGTAACATGGTTGAGCAATAGGGAGCCATCCCTTGACCGCACACGGGCATAGATCAGCCTCCCATTGTATCTGTACCAGATGGAAATTCCTCCATTGCAGCTATTGAAGGCTTCACAAACTACGTGGTCAAAATAGATGTTAAATAATGTGGGAGCAAGAGGACATCCCTGTTGCACCCTAAGGTGTACAGGGAATGGCTCTGATTCCTGGCCACGTAGTTTTACCCGGGGCCCGCTCACCATGATTAAGGTCCTTAATGATCGTGAGCAGAGGGTCAGGGACTCCGAAAGCACAAAGAACAACCCCGAGTCCAGGCATACTGATGGTATCATAGGCCTTGACCAGGTCAATAAAGCAGAGATGTAGGTCTTGTTGGAATTCTCTACACCTCTGCTGGGTAGCAGATGGACAAAAAATATAGCATCTGTGCAGGACCGCCCTTTCCTGAAACCGCATTGGGGCTCCGCAAGCCTATCCTCAGCTTGCCTAGCAAGACGATGTTGAATAATCCTTGCCAGGACCTTTCCTGGCACACTGAGGAGTGAGATGCCCCTTTAGTTGTTATAGTCTGTGCGGTCCCCCTTCTTAAAGAGGGGGACCACCAGGGCATCCTTCCAATCCTGCGGAACCCGTCCAGTGGTCCACACTGTTTTATGATGTCATGTAGGGCAGTCTGTGCACAAACGCCACCCTCCCTCAGCATTTCGCTTGGGAGATCATCTCTGCCCGGTCCCTTTTCTGGTTTCAGACTCTGGATCGCCTTCAGTACTTCCTCAACAGATGGCACCTCAGCCAGCTACTCACAGGGGTTGACTTCTTCCAATATTTGAGGCACCACAACCTCGGCAGGGTCATCCCCACTTTGTCCCACGTTGTTTTCCTCACAGAAATACTCAGAAAATCTGCAAACCTGTTTCTGGGGGTCGGAGATTGGATCACCGTTCTTTCCCCTAATGATGGTAATAGGTGTGGCGCTACAGGTTACTTTTTTGATGGAATTACAGAGTGATTTGTGATTGCGGGCCATTGAGGCAGACTCCATCTCCTCAGCAACCCACGACCACCACCCATCCTTGCAGCACCTCACGGCTCTCCGAACCTCTGAGCGACGGCTGCGGTAAGCCTCCTCATTCTCCGACGTGGGATGCTGTAGCTGATGGGAGTGGGCCTGTTGCTTTTTCTCAGCCAACTTGAACACCTCCTCTGTCAGCCAGGGTCTCTGGGGAGGTCTGGACCATGTACCCAAAGCAGCCATTGCAGCTGTATGAGCCACAGTCCTAAACCTCGCCCATTTCCCTTCGACGCCAGGAAGAGTGGGGGATGATGCCAACCCCAGCTACAAGCGATGATGACATTCTCACTTGCAACTTTCATCAGCTAGCTGAGGGGTTTAAATGGGGTCCTGGTTGTGCACCCACCACCGGAGTAGAAGAATGGCAGGAGCATCTTAGAGATAATAAGTCGATGGTCAGTGGGCAGATCAGCTCCATGGTTGGTCCTGGTGTCAAGGACATGGGCCGGCATCCGCTATTCCGTCACTATGTCATCCAGCAGACGATCTTGCTTGGACCCGGCATGCATTCATGATGTGGTTTGGATGCGCCGATGCCGGAACATTGTGTTGGAAATTTCAGGCCCATGGGCTGCACAACAATCTAGCAGCCTCCTGCCGTTGTTATTGAGCTGATCTGGCCCATGCCTTCCAATTACTCCAGACCAGGTGCCAGCATCATGACCAACTCGGGCATTGAAGTCACCCAAAAAGATGACTCTATCCTGAGGGGCCACTTTAGCTAGCACCTGTGACAGGTCATAGAAGGCATCTGACTCATCGGCCTTGCCTGCATCCCTCCACGGATGTTCGTCTTCAATGGGGGTATAAGTAACCACGACCACCACTCCTCACCTCTGGCGAGCCCAAAGTAGCCTGGAAGCTTACAGCTTCCCACACCTCACCGCCACGCTCCCACGCCCCTTTCATTCTATTATTCAGAAGAAGAGCCACACCCTGTTGTTTGGCAGTCTCCTGCCCCAAGTAAAGGACTGTCCATCCCCTCATGGTGGCAGGAGCCAGAGCCGGTCCACTGGACCTCCTGAATACCACAGAGATCTAGGCAGTACCAGTCCAGGACAGAGGAGTGAGCATTCAAACATTCCACGTGGCCACACGTAGTGGTTTTAGTTGTTTCTGGAGGAGCCACGAGGGTAAGGATTCAGTCTCCTGGCTCCATCAAATAGGGGTTGACCAGGAGACGTCATAGACGCCTGTCCCCCTGGGGCCTCCTGCACAAGCTTATTTATTACATTTTGTTGTCGTGTTTTAGTGGTAATTAATTGAGGGTGAGGGGTTACCAGCCCCTTGCACCCGTCCAAAGCCCCCATTTGGCCGCTATGGTAGTTACAAACACCATGAGGGGAATGGCCAATTTACGTTGGCCCTCCTCCCATGGCACTGCCCACCACAGCGTTACCGTCCGGCACCATGAGGAGGTAGGGGGTTGTTTCAACCACACACAGACAGAGACAGACAGACAGACAAACAATGACTTTTATAGGCAAGATATCCTATCGACATATATACAACAAAAACGTATGTAACGTATTTTTATTTTACCAGGTAAAGCCCACTGAGCTATATAGCTCTTTTCAAAAGCGACTTGGCCACAAATGATGGCTCAACGAATTGTTTTTACCATGTGGAAATGAATAGCAGGCATGTTGATTCTAAATGTGGAAGTAAAATCCGGAAGGCTGGGATAAAAATATATGCAAACTTCAAATATACAGAGGCGTCACGGTCAGGACTAAACCCACGACCTCCTCCATACTAAGAGAGGGAGTTAACATCTCGTCAACAGTGGCGCACAAAAACAACTATGGGCATCTACTGAAGGCAGGTAAGGATAGCGGTGGGCTGTCACCTGATTGAATATTAGACAATTGTTTAGGCGTTAAAGGCATCTTTACATTTGAACCATGACTGGACTTTTCTAATGGCAAATAAATATAATTGTTGCGATTAAGTAATATTGAAATCATCATTTGAAGCACAATAATATGTTTGCCTACTGTGTCAGCATGTTTAATCATTGGTAAACAATAGTAAATCCATAAAAGGATAAGAAGTAAACAAATAGCTAAAATTCTACTTAACAAACCTTCATCCGAACAAGAATGAAAGAGAAAAGTTTTATTTTATTAATATACATGGCCAAAACATAGACCACCTTGTTTTTCTTTTAATCGATTTTCATTTTTAAAAGTTATATTAAAGCATGGTGACAACATGGCAGCTATGTTGCCGTGATGTGAAAATCAATCAGAAACCATGCGGACCAACCATTTATTGGTAAAACAAGGCAATGGGCTTGACAAAATAAATGTAAAGATTTTGAAGATCGCGTGTGCAACATGGAAAAATCATTCATCAAACTGGGAGGAAAACTGTAAAGAAGAAAAACAACTTTGAAGATAAATTACTTAGAGGCTAACAGTGTCTGACTTGGAAAATATTGAGCAATGGAGCAGAGAAAAGTTAGAAAGAAACTATAAATCACAACAATCTGAAGCGGCCATTGCAGTGTTGTGGTCAGTTTTATTTAGCGTTCTGGAATACATCCGAGACACAACATTAAACATTATTGCATATTCTACTGCAGCCCACGAAGAACACAAAGCTCCCAGATATATTGCATACGTTCTTTTTTTTTTAACGCTCACCCCGACTACCAAGGGTGAACTTTCTTTCCCTCTATACTGCCACCAGATGAGGCTGAGGACGCAAGTAGTCTCCTTGAGTAGACACCGACTGTGTTTCTTGCTACGCAGATTTTTTAGGTTGTGCGGCAGCGCTCCTCCCATGTCCTTTCAAGTTGTACCCGGTGTTGTGTGGCACGATGTCTGACATTCCGCTCGACGTGCGGAAAGCGTCTCCACGAAGTGAATGGAACGGAGTGTGCTTCTTCGCATACTTCAGAAACCGAGTGTGCCTCCTTGCAACAAAAGGTATTTGTTCGAACATGCAAAACACGCGGTCATGAATGGACTCTAACACAGCAGTTAATTGATGTCAAATCAACAAAATTGCTGATGGTTCCAAAATGTGTATTTCAATGAGTCGCGTGATGAGTTGTCGTCTTTTCGCGTGATAGTGAGCAGCCAATCGCATGGCTGCTGTAACAGTGCAAGTTAATTGCGTCGCAAATGGGAGGGGATGTGGGAAAACATCTTACTTTGCAGCCTGCCACTTACAATCCACAGTCCACTGCAGTTAACAGCACTGCACTATCCATGTAGTGCACTATAGTTAATGTCTTTGCCCTTTATCTCAGAACATTCGTACAATTATCACGCTTCTCATAACGGCAATGAATGATTCACAAGTACAGATGTTCCACATTGTTGACAAACATGCAACATTGGTGATTTAAAAAAAAAAATGCGTATTATTCGTTGCCATGTCTAAACAAACGTGTCCATTGGCTGTGGCGTTTTTGGCTCCGGGAGACCGCAAATGCAAATTCTCTCTTCGCCTTTTCAATCCAGAATTGAGTGTCACATTGCCAAACACCCACGTAGATGTATATAGAACATATAAATGTGAAATGTGCATAGGATTACGCTCCCACAAAAATGTAATGATTATTATTGACAAATGTAACCTCATTGGCACCAGAATGATAGTTTATGGTTAAAGGATGATATACAAACAAACAAATATCTTATAATGCAGAAAGTTAACAAACTTCAAAATTACAACAAGCTGCTTTGGATACCTCACATCAACATTTTAAGTTAATCAAAACATTAAACGCTTCTTCTTCTTCGTTGACCTCTTGGGCTTCCGACTAGAACTTTCCTATAACAATACAGCCACGCCAAACGTGTTTCCTTGGTCATAAGCAATGGGGCAGCGTTCGTCGCCACTGGTGACCATGCACCAGTGGCGTAAATTCCACATTGCCATGGTAAGGGCCAGCCTCTCCTTAGGACGATCACTTAATGTAGCTTCCCTCAAACGGATTGTCGACCGTAGAGTGGCAATAGACCCTGACTGCAATTTGAACTCACAATCTTTTTACTCCGAGATGGCTGCTCCAAACACATCACCGCCCAGCTGGATAATAAATCAACTGCATAACAACAGCAGTGACAGTACAGGTGTGATTGCAATAGTCAGATCACTCGTGCGCAATTGCCTAAAATATAAACTTCATGCCAAAACAATGATGCGGTGCAGCGGCAACCATGCATAAACGTAAGAGGTAAGGCAAAGGTGCAGCCCTGCAATTGCTATTCATCCGACTGCGGGCAGAAGGGCCTCCACTAGATGGAGCTTGAGATAACCTCTAGAGAGGGTATTTGACCTACTCTTCAACCCGAGCCAGACACCCACACTTGACCCCACCATACATGACCTGCTGATGAACAAACTGTGGCAAACCCTGTCAGGTGAACAAAAGCAAGGGGATAGAAGAAACTTGTCCATTAATTCAACTTCCATGTGGGCAGGTCAAACTGGCGACCTCTGGATTTCAAGTCCAATGTGATAACCATCACACCACGCAGCATCCCTCCACAGGTGTAGGCATCTTTACATAGGATGATCATCAAACATCACTTATGGTCAACAATAACGATCCATTTATACCATCTAGATGCCCCTTATCGCACTTACTTGTGACTACCGTCCCTGCCGTAATCCCCAGTGCTGTCATGTGGGTTCCGGCAACGGCCTCCTGAAGAGATTGCACCAACACTTGACCCGCATGTGTCACGCTCCAGCAAGCCTACCGAGTAAGTGGAGCTTTGCATGATTGCCTGTGCCTCAATGTTCCAAACTGGCAGGAGAACTTCCTGCTGCTATGTAACATCGTGTCCTCTGTTCACGAGGCAATATGTTGAGAAGTGTCAATGGAGAAAAGTGCCATATTTTGCACAACAATGTAAACTTAGCAAAGCAATAATGATTCTAGGGTTTCTGAGCGATATGCATCTGATGAAAATGCTTGGAGAGGTGTTTGGATATAAAGTCTGGAAAACATGTTTTTTTACTTTACCTTTAAATATGGCTGGTGTAAAATGATCAGATGACACATTCTTCCCAATTCACAAAGACCATTCGCTGCCAATTTGTCAGGAGAAATTAGTGCGGTGCCATCACACCGACGTGTATCCATCACTGTTTTGTTCAGTGTCTGTATTTAGATAGTAAACACATCTAAATTGTATTCTGAAATGGGTCGCCATGCCCTCTCCAAACCCACAAATTATTTGTGAGGAGATTCTGCCTCCGGAATCGTTTAACGGTATTTCGTGAAAACTTTTGCGGCTCTGCCATAGCCTCAGCCTAGCCCAATCGACCTCTTCCACACAAGTGGTCCAATTCTCTCCCCCGTCGGTGCAATTGGCCGCAGGTGCATTGCAGATTAGGCATTGGGGATGTTTGAGCATAGCCAATTCTGCATTCCTGTGCGACGGAGGCAAGACTGTCATGATGGAGAACCACTGTTGACTTCTTCTTGGTTCTTTCGGTACAGTCACGTAGAAGGGAAATAATAAAATAATAAAAATAAAACATACTAAAATAATTCTCACGACGTTTCGGCCACAACGCAAGCAGCCGTCCTCAGGTGAAGACCAGGTCTGTTGGGGAGACAGCGTCTGACTTCCCAACTTTGTTTAATGCAGCACCTGGTAGAAGCCAAATGGCCAACACCCAGGATTCTAAGTCACAATCTTCATAATTTGAGTAAATTGCACACCGACTCCCAGCGAGATGAAGAGAGTACAATGTGACAAAGGCTCGGTATAATAAATTGCTAACCTGAGCGTTGCGTGAAAGTTTTCTTTTAGTGGGAATAATGGGATTTAATTGACCGCTGAAAATGCATCACACGCATTGTTCGCAGCGTTACTTAAGTGACAAACGTGCCGGCAACCATTTTCCACACTAACACAACGTGTGCGGCCCTATCGACACACGGACGTATGCATTGATTGGCAATGATGAATGGAAATGTGTGGTCAACTGAAAATGTTAAGACGTAATGTATTTTTAGCAGATTATTTAAAGCGTATAGATTTGTTTTTATGCAAGCCACTTGTTGCACGTTATCATTATATTTAAATTAGGTTTACATATTTCATATTCTTCAACTATTTTTCTTTAAGTCTGCGATTTTTCTTCACTTGCAATAATTTTGGCATCCGTTCAGAATATGGTGTGCTTTTCACAACGACCTATATTTGGAGTACATTTTCTGCACCTCGTTGTTATCGCTTGTGTTTATCACCATTTCATATGGCCCCCAACGATGTGGAATCTCCACTGCTGGTTTACAGATGTAGCTGTGCACGACCCATTTCTGTCATTGCATTCACAATCATCTCTCTGCAAAGGAGACTTCTGTATCCATGATAAAGTAAAGGAAATGCGTGAACAAAACATGTGAATCGGGTTTTAGTGGACCATATCGCAGAGATAACTGCATTTTCTCTGTCTGGGTGGTCGTGCTGCAGTGTCGCTTCGGTAATTTATTTGTAGGTCACAATTCGCAACGGTTAAATTTGTAAAGATAAGCTGTCATACTTGTTGACGCAATTTTATTATAATTTATTTTTTCAAAAATCCAAGTGATCACCTCTAAGCACGGATTTTGAAGCAAGAATAATTGGGCCAATGTGACTTCAGCTCACAAGTCATACGTACAATAACAGTGTGTATTGCGCTCTAATTGCCTAATCCAATCAAGCTGTCACAATACACTGTTATTTCACGGAGTGAAGCCTTTTGTGTATACACAGTGAATTTAATATTTCAAGTAAAACGTAAAAATCATAAGCCGTGAATTCATTATGCAGGTTTACATGGTACCGATGAAATTATTAAGCAAAGAAATATAAAAAGGGACCGAAGATTATGAATAAGGAATCTGACTTTTACTTTCATTTTAAGTCAAAGTGACTCAAGGTTAACGTATACCAAAATGGTGACACTGAAATGTCATGGATAAAATGTATTCATGCATACATTATGGACCATTGTTTAACATGACAGATTGTATTGAGGCGTGTAAAATATTTTATTTAAATTGCACAGAGCCAATGTAAAAAATTATAAATGAATGCTAAGCAGGATTATATGTTACATTTACCATTTACCTCTTTGTAGGCAGGATAATTAAACAAAAATATGAAGATGTTCACAATTTTATGCAGGATATAGCAGCCTCATAAAAGGCAATTTTGGCATTGTAATTGATCATTTTTGTTTATTCCATTAATAGTATATATAAACACACTGGAATGTATACAACAAATGAACACGTATCTACAGGATGAGCAAATCAGCTTATACAATGTAATAATTAACAACGAGACATATATGACAACACATTATTCATGCTGCCCACTGCCATGTCTTTTTGTAAATGATACAACTCTATATAAGTAAACAGCACAATGCAAAGTCTGCTGAATTCCATGTAATTTTTTTTATAGAATTAAAAAATATAAATGAAAGGATACATCCCCTCGGGAATATGCTACACAAAGCCCCATTCCTGTGCAGAGCACCACACTGATGTGTTTTCCACAGGTTTCGCTCCTGAAAAGCAGACTCTGACCCCTCGTTTTGTGGAAGGGCCACAAAGAATAATAAATGACCGATTCGTTTCTTTGCAACGAGTGAGTCTCAGGCCTCAGTGAACAGGAAAATTGACGGCTCGCGCAGCGGCGAGCAAGCGGCGAGCAGCAACTGTGAGCAGCGAGCGGCGAATTTGCTGTTGCGCTGGGATGTTTACCGCAAGCTCTCTGCGCGTCAAAACCTTCCCTCCGCTCCCTGCCCGTGCTTAACGTCTCCCCGGCCTGATCGGTTGCACAAAACCACCCGGCTGGCTTGCGCCTTTGTCTGGGCCAGAAATTGACGCTCGAACAGAGGCGCGTCGGCGATTGTTACGCGGCGCCGTCGGCAGGCAGCCGGCTTCCGCGTGGCACAATGAGAC